TGTGAACAGACCCCTCCAACTCTCTCAGCTCAGTTTCCCGAAACTTCCTGTCCAGTGCAAGATCACACGGGAGAGTGCAGTCTCCAGAAACTGGCAATCTACTAGCTTAGAGTAGGGAGGAAGGAGGGGTGGAGAATAGGGGACTGGGTTGCCATGTTGTGCATGTGAGTTTGTGGAGATGCACTCTGCTTATTAGCACACACAAGGGGGCTCCATGGGACTCTACAAGGGAAATAAACCACCCTAAAACAGGATATCAGGGCCAGTGCTCAGAGGGCCAGCTGATTCTGCAGGAAACTTGAAAACTTTTAAACATCAGGAAGCAGCATCCATTAAGTGATTTAATCAGCATTTGAAATAGCTTAAGACCTTCTGACTTTATTATCACTTTCAATTAAAGTTTATGTTAGATTAAAAAATAAAAAAACATATTTAGTACATTTCTCTGATACAGTTGCCCATGTTTTATCCCTTTAAAAATGCTGCAAGTACAGGAACTACTTGTTGATCTGCCAGTAATGGTTCAACTGAAATTCCAACCAGCATTGTGAGCCCTGCCTTCTTGACTACAGGACTCCACCTATCCCCGCCCCTCACTTTCCCACTCCACATGGAAACATTGGTTCCTTTACCAGCAAAATACTGCTGCTTACTTGACACCAAAGAGCCTGTTTACACATGGTGTGCAAGGGAAAGGGCTCTTTTGAGATGTAGTTCTGGGGGTGTGCCTACATCAGTTGGAATTGATCCCCACGCGGCTGCTCCTACAACAATTTTACAAGCCTGGTGACAATGAGGCTTGAGACAGAGATGTCTGTAGAGTTCCTCCCTTCTACATAGGCACATACATGCACATTTACCCAATGGGGATCTGCATGTTTGTACTATGGTCTTTGGTTAGAAAGATTGGCAGCCGGATCGCACACTCAATGAAACTGAATGTATAGATCAGGGGTATGCAACCCTAGCTGTTGTGAAACTACAAGTCTCATGAGACATTGCAAGACTGACAGCATGATGGCATATTCTGTCAGGCATGATGAGATTTGTATTTGCAGAACAGCTGAAGTGCAGAGATTGCCCCTGGTATAGACCTATTTGGGGAATCTGACACCTTTAGGCCTCATTCACACGTGCACAGCCGTATCGGGCAGCTCCCGGGAAGGACAGGTGCTGTGTGTGATTAGTACGCAGCCCCTGTCCTTCTCTATGGGACTACGCAGCCGTACGCTGCCCTACGCTCACCCCAAGTGCAGGTCCGTACGGTTGGGGGTGTCCCTGCTCAGACACAGAGAGGATCCATCCTGTCAGCGTACGAGTACGGACACCCCCACCCGCACAGATATGCAGGGCGGGTGAGCGTACGGCGGCGTACAGCCACGTACTCCCATAGAGAAGGATAGGGGCTGCGTACTAATCACACGCAGCACCTGTCCTTCCCGGGAGCTGATATGGCCATGCACACCGCACGGAGCTGTACGTGCCGGCCTTTTCTCATGAATGGGCCTTAAGGCCCATTCACACCACATCATCTCCAGACCAGATCAGATTGTTTCCGGACCCAAAAAGCATCCTAATGTATCCCTGTGCTATTTCTGGCCTCTGTTCACATTAGCGCAGTCCGTTCCAGACCAGACCAGAAAAATACTGCATGTCTCAGTTTGTCTGGTCTGGAATGCACTGGAACTGAGGGGCAGGTTCACACCATTTTCTAGACCAGATCTGGTCCGGAAAATGGTGTGAACCTGCGCTTAGGGTCTGTGTCGATGGGTTTTTCTTAACTTTAAATGGGTTTTGCACTCCCATAGAAGTCTACGGCAATGCAAAACCTGTTTGAAGCAGGAAAGGGGATCAACTGCAAGTCAAATGCAGCAAGCAATGATCTCTGGATGATCACAGGAGCGTCTCAAACTGAGGCCACCAACACAAACCCAAAACCCGTTAGCACAGACCCTTAGTGCAGTCCAGCGTTTTATGTTTATTCTGATGACTTTATATTATTGTTACAAAGATTTGTGAAGAAACACAGAAATCCTGAGCGAAAATCCACTGAACTATCTATGCTATCCTATCGTCCTATCGAATAACACAGAATATAACTGGTTCCTCATCTGTTATTTATGTATCACCCTCATTGGTTCCACCCAGCAGAAAGTATCCGGCTTGTTTTCCTCTTCTGTGTTTGCTGCTTTGTTACTTTTATTGCCATCTGATAACAGGACCGAAACTAGCTGCTTATGTAAATCCAGGTCAGAAAACAGAGTGACTCAGATTGTTGATGTAAGGTTGGTCATTGTTTTGTAGTACAGATTCTTCAGTGATCACAGGAATGTGGCTTCATCTTGTCTATCAGTGACAGCGCCGGCCCAGACACTAATGTCCTTGTTTTCATAAAAGCGGCTCCACCTTTTTATGTTTTGGTGTACAAGCACTGATGTTATAAAAGGGTAAATATGTCAGTGTCAGCAGCGTGTGTGTCTTAAAGTGACATTAACCCCTTCATGACTGAGCTTGTTTTTAGTTTCTGTTCGTAAATGACTGACACACTTTTGACATTTTTGCTGTGTGATTCTTCCACGTCAGTAATATACTTTCTTACAAAGTGCACCCACACATATTATATATTGTTTTTTAGAGGACAGATAGGGCTACATATTTATATCACATATGTGCGTCTAACGCCTCACTTAGGACAAATAAAATATAAAAAAAGAGGAAAAAACCGTTTAAAAAAAACACTTTTTTCCCAGTTTTGATTTGTAGTATTTTTTTTACAAAACCAGCACAGCTAAAAAAATGCAATAAATACATTCATTTATTTGTCCCTTATTTTATTTTATTTTTTACACATTTTTTTTTTTTTTTTACACTTTTCACAATTTTTTTTTTTTTTCACACTTTTCACTTTTTTTTTTAACTTAAAAATGTTATTTTATTTATTTAATTATATCAAGCAGATTTTGTGAATTAATCTCACTGTTACTGCATGATAAATTAATAAATTTTTGGTTATTATCAGGCTGCTTCAAACTTCAGAACAGCCGATAATAAGTTAGTGACACTGATCCTGCAGCAGTTCAGGATTCAGCTGTTACTAAATGTTTTCTGATTGTTGCAACAACGATCAGCAAACAAACATTCTTCTTCCAGGAATAGATACATTGTAGGAATAGACACATTTTGTATCTATTCATGAAAGAAAAAAAAAAAAGCCAGTATAGCTTGAGAGAGATATCTCTCGATCTATACGAGCTGTCAGAATGCCGGCAAAAGCCGGCATCTGTGTCCGCTTTGCTTTGACTCTCAGACACCCGATATTAAGGTATCGGGTGTCTGAAAAAGGTTAACCCTTTCATTAATGAATGCCTCTGTAGTAAGGGCATCCATTAATGAATGTTAAAAGCTGATTCTCAGCGATTAACAGCCCTCTAAAGCAGCAAATAACTCGTCACGTACAGTGTACGTGACAAGTCATTTGGTCCCTTTGTGGCTGGACATACAGTGTACGTCTCCCGTCACGAAGGGGTTAAAGGCAAAAAATGTTTTTCCCTCCCCCCAATGTTAATTTCAGCACCTTAAATGATCTTCTTTCCTGTCATTTTCATCTGTCCCTCCAGCGCTGCTGCGGGTCTCCGATCCAGCGCTGACTCCTCTGTCCTTGCTGGCACTTCCTGTCTCACGGTGTCTGCATGCAGGTGCACGCGTCCATAGACTTACCTTGCGTCTCTGCTTGTCTCCCCACCGAAAATCCAAACTGCGCATGCGCCCGCCCCAAGATGCTTTGTGGCCACCCGAGCAGTTTCGGATTCTCGAACGGGAGCGCGCGGCGAAGACGGGGCAAGTTTAAACTGCTGTTAAAGCGGGTTTTTTGTTTTTTTTTACTTTTTGCATATATCTACTGCTTGCTAGCCTTATATATGCAAACAAAACGGAGGGTTTAGAACCCATTTAACCGCTTGCTGACCAGGGTATTAAACCCCCTTCCTGTCCAGGCCATTTTTTTCAGCACTGCGGAACTTTGACTGACATTTATTCCGTCATGCAACTGAAATGAATTTTATACCATTTTTTGAAGACACATAGAGCTTTCTTTTGGTGGTATTTAATCACCACTGGGGGTTTTATTTTTTACTATATAATGGAAAAAGAACCGAAAACATTTCCCCCCCAAAAAACTGTTTTTCCTAAGTTATGTTAAAAAACATTTATTCTTACCCGTGGTCACTCCAGGTAAATAGACACCAAACATGTCAAGCTTTAAAATTGCGCGCATCTGCGAAATCGCAATAAAATACTATACCCAAAATTGGCCATAAGTGACGCTTTAAAAGCTTTTACCGCTCATCAATTTAGTGTTATCAGTGATCGTCATTTTCGCACGTATGCGCACCCGACGCATGTTTGCACATAAGTACGTGGGGCTGGGACTTAAAAAAGAAAATTGTGTTTTTTTTAAATTCTTTTTTATGTGTGGCTTTGATTTTTGGGGGGAACTTTAATTTTTTGTTTACTTTTTCCCCCCACTTAACTTTATTATTATCACATAGGGGGACTAAGAATCCCCCTATGTGATAGCGAAGAGGATGTGACAGGTCCTCTTTATGGAGACATCAGGGATCTTTAAGACCCCTAATGTCACCTAGGGACCCCCAAAGAAGCTGATGAAGCTGGAGGTTTTGAGGCCGAAGAGTGACAGCAGAATGCGGAAGTGATGTAATATACATCACTTCCGCATTCAGACAAACAGAGGAGCTCGGAGGGAGATCGTGTACTGATCTCCCTCGGATCTTTTTTATCACTTTTTTTAATTTTATGTTTTATTAATTTTGGTGGCCTTGTGGGAAATCCGGCCCTGAACATAGGGATGCCAATGGGGTTTAAATCTCAGCCAAACAGGACTGTGTGGCCAGCTTAACTTGTATGTGCACCTGATGTGATGATATAAAGCATAATGTTTTTATTATAAAATGTCTCCGTGGATTTGCATTCTTGGTTTGCAGGTGGTACCTTAGCCGAATACATCCAGAAACGCTGTAATTCACTTCTAGACGAAGACACTATTCTTCACTTCTTCGTCCAGATCCTCCTTGCCCTTCACCATGTGCACAACAAGCTCATTCTTCACCGGGACCTGAAAACCCAGAACATCCTGCTGGATAAACATCAGATGATTGTCAAGATTGGAGACTTTGGCATTTCGAAAATTCTCAGTAGTAAGAGCAAGGCTTATACAGTGAGTACTGGACAATAATCCTGAGCCAGTGATATGCATGGAAATGATCATTGTAGTAGACAATCTGAAATGTTCTCTGCATAGCTCATCTCCCTGGACAGCTGATCACCCTGCATGAACATACATTTATTTAGATGCTTTCTTTAGAAGGATTGTCCGCTGGCAGTGGGTGGCAGTGCCTTGCGTTTATCTTTTTTTTTAACTTTATGCTTCTATGCAGTGCGAAGACAGATGTTGACTTCAGGTGAACACTGGTGCATTGTGGAAGAATGCAGCATGTGCTGAAAGCAGTGTTGCAGTGTGAACAGGGTACACAGAAAACCATTGTTCTCTATGTGCCTTTGGGGTGACTGGTGTTGGTCAAGTGCAGAAAAACACCCCTCCGGCGTGGTGAACGGCCCTTCACTAGCTCATGGCAGGTTTACACTGCTGGAGTGCACAACGCTGCTCTCCTAGTAACTTGATCTTTTCATCTAAATAACTTTGTGCCTTTATAGTCGCGTCTCATGTTGTTCAGCAGATTATTTCCTTTCAACATAATTTTTCTGCATATTTTATTGGTGACTTACATAGGTTGTCTCGCAGACATATCCATTCCTGGAATTCTTCTTAGTCTCACCCTTCTCTCCAGTAACCAAACACATCAGTTTCAATTGTTTTTCTCCACTGTAACATAGTTCTATTACCTGTTCATCCTGCCAGTACATTTGTTGATCTTCCACTTCTTTTAATATACTGACAACACTTGTTTGTCCTGCAATAAAATCAGTGCAGCTGCAGTGTCACTCCACAGGCATGGTAGTCTTACATCGGACATAAATCCCTATGTGAAGGGTGGCACATAATTACTGGCACGCTATGGCACACTTAAGGTGCCCATACACTCTACAGCAGTGGTTCTTTCTAGGGCCGGGACCCCTTGGTAACATTTGCTTGGTTGTGGTCACCCCAAACGGTAAAATTTAGGGATGACGCGGCTGCTGCAGCGACATCTGGCGGCGTGGTGGGAGAACTGACACTGCTGCCCTAGGAGAGGGCTGAGGAGGACTCTCACCTTATTATTGTTTTATTTTTTATAATTTTCTTATTTTTTTACATTTGTTTCTTATTTCTTTTTAATCGCTTTTTTTTATTTTTTTTATTCTTTTATTTCTATTTCTTAAATTTTTTTTATATATTTTTTTTCCCATTTAACTTCATTGCTATCACACAGAGGTAACAAGCCACTGTGTAATAGCAATTGGAGGTGACAGGTTCTCTTTATTGACCTTGTTACCTCCAATACAGGAGTCCTAGCACAGCACTGTGCTGGAACATCTGTGACAGGTGAGTGGGGAAGACTGCTATCCCCTCTCACTGTGCACACGGTGCGGCAGGTTTACTTTTAACCCTGTCAGAAAAAAAAGAGCAGAGATAGCGCTTCTCCCCTGGGTGGCCGGAAGCCGCTAGGCGACCCCTGGCAAATCGTCATTCGACCCCCAAGGGGGTCCCGACCCCCAGGTTGAGAACCACTGCTCTACAGCCCTCGCAAAACTTTTGTCTTGCGATGGTTGTAAAGTAATTTAAAAAACGTACGATCTGCCCATCTTGGACAGGCAGATCGTACTTGCGATCGTACTCGGAAGCCCGCCCCCCTGAGGGGCTGGCTTCCGATGACTGCAATGCAATGCGCACACCGGCCCGTTCGGCAGTGATCTCTCGATCATGTTAAAAACCAGCCGAAAATCGTACGATTCTCGGCTGGTTTTCCAACATGCTCAATATACAAAAGTCGTGCTACTGTACATTAGAAACGGTCGCACGCCTTCCATACACTGCACGATTATCGTACGATCAAGGGATTTCCCGCGATTCTCGTACGAGAATCGTGCAGTGTATGGGCACCTTTACCCTACAAGGGCTGCCTTTTCCAGCGCTGTCCAATCCATCATCTGTCCCCCTGCTGCCATAATCTTCGCTACCACCATTTTCAGGTTCCCAGACATCCTCTTCAGGTGGCCAATGATGATGTAACTCCTGGGCATGCACATAGTTACATTCTCCCTGGCACATCTTAAAGGTGCCATAAATGGGCATTATAAGGAGTATGTGCTGTACAGTGTACACAGAAAATAGAATATTGCTGGGGTAAAGGAAGAATTTTTTGGCAGAAGAGACTTTACATGTCTCTTCTGCCAAACATTTCAACCTCCCAGCAATTTATTTTATTCTTGACACTTCTGCTTTAAATTGACATGTGTTTTCAAAGCAAAGAAGCAGAAATAAAAAGTAACTAACCTTTGCTGTGGGGCTACAAGGTCCAAGTGCTCATTTTTCCTAGGGCAAGATATAATCACCCGAACCGAAATCCCGGCTGTCGCTTCAGCCTCTCTCCTCCCCCGCTCCAGCGAAGGAAGGAGCCACCCTAAAACAGGATATCAGCTCCAGGGCTCAGAAGAGTGGCTGATTCTGCAGGAAACTAAAACGTTTAAACATCAAGAAGCAGCATCCACCGAAAGTGATTTAATAATAAAAAATCTTTTAACTTTAATATCACTTTAAATTGGTGGGTAAAGTTGCTGATGACAGCACAGTGCAATGTAAATTTATACCTTCAAAAAAATTGCAAGGTGTATTATTTTGGATATATGTGATCATTTCAAAGCATAATGGGATGACTAATGAAACAATAACAGGGTTATTCACCAAAGGGTGAAGAGTTTGGAGAAGGCAGGAGAAGTGCACAATCTAGGACAACATAGCTGAACTGGAAAGTGAGCTGAATTGGAGAATTTTTCCAAATCAGCTATGTTGTCCTAGATTGTTCACTTCTCCTGCCTTCTTCCAAACTCTTCACGCTTTTTGTGAATAACCCTGTCAAATCTTGTTCTGTTTTCCTTTAACATCCTAATTGCACATTCTGTATGGCCTTGCTTAGCGCCTTTGCCTCTCTGTCAGTGATTCCTGTCAGTTATTTATCAGTGATGTTGATAACTCCAGAATTCCATGTCAAGGAACTGGTGGAGAGAGCATGCTTGCATATTATTACCTCACCCATCTTCTGATTCAGCAAGCCAGCGGTGGGTGGACTTTGACCCTCAAGTCAGTGAACACTTGCAGCCTGTCATAGGGAATTCACGCCAATTCACAATGTTGTCTGTTACATATTGACAGATATAGTTGTTTATTTTTAATCTGCAGCAAGGGAGATACAGGCTGACGTAATAAGTCTTTGTTAAAGTTCAACTTGTCATTCTACCTAACTGCCGCATCATAATAAAATGGTGCGCAGTTATTGTCAACAATATAACGTGCCGGCTGGAATACTGTGACATTATTCGTCTTCGTGGAATAACACAACATGTTTCTTGCTTCTCTAGGATACTGTGACATGTCACCTCAGCGGCACAAAGATAACCAAGTGCTATCGGAGTTGTAAAGTCCCAGCATATACTATCCTTTTTATAACATCAGCATTGTGATAAGAATACATCATAGAGTTGTTTATCATGATGCAATCAAAGCTTACTTGAAAAATCAATTGTATGCATTGAGTGCTGTCTGCCCATCTCTTTCAACAACTTACTACATTTCAACAGTGTTTTGCATCTCTTTCCCTGCTGCTTGATGTGATGCAATCTTGATTTCTCAAGATTACATATTCCATCATGCATTGCTTTCAGCAAGCAATGATGATGTTACATAGTTCAGACATTGCATTGTACTTCAGACAGCAGTCTCTGTTTGTTGTGACACAAGGAAGTGCATATTCACAGGGATGACTGAATTGAGGATGTACATCCTACGGCAAGTATTTGGCTATAGTTCTCTCTTGGGTCAGAATAGTACATTTACTAATGTATTCCTGGGACCCAAAGTCAGCATCTAGAGGGGAACTGCTTGCTATATGTTGGCATGTAGAGCTACAATCTCAATACAAATTAGTAAACTAAACATGAGATTGTAGTCCATCACGGAAGGGAGCTTGGAGCGGTGGCTACTTTACAACACACACAGGGACCATGGAGAACAAAAGTAGCCACCCTCCTGAAGGAAGGAGAGTGTCAGCACCAATTCAGAGATGATTTGAGAATCCACAGCCGAGTGATACACAAATAAGATACACTTGTGTTAATAGTGAAGGTACTTGAATGTATTCTTAAGACTTAACTCCTGAGTTTAGTGTCATTTATTTAAGTCACTTTTTTTTAACGTTTTCACCTTTTCACTTTAAGGCACAATTAAAACTTTACAAACATTTAAGTTATTTATTCAGGTTTAGTTATTTATTATTAATAATTTTGAATGTTATGTTGTATTTGTTTATGCAAATTTGGGTTTGAGGGATCTTACTAACTTTCAAAGCTGTAAGTGGATCCTGTGTGTGTCCGAGAGTGGACACCGCACTTGCATGGATTTGCAGCTCGGGTGTGCGTACAGCGGCGTATGGCCGCGTCCTCCCGTGGGGAAGAACAGGCTGCTGCGTACAATCACACAAAGCACTTGTCCTTCCCGGGACGGCCCGACACGGATCTGTACTGGCCGACTCTAAGCTGTGTGAATGAGGCCTAAATGTTACTTTAACTATGAACAAAAATGTATCTTATTTGTGTGTCACTCGGCTGTAGATCCTCAAATCATCTCTGAATTAGTGCTGACACTGTCCTTCCTTCTGGAGGGTGACTACTTTTGCTCCTGTGTGCGTTGTAAAGTAGCCATCGCTCCAAGCTCTCTCCCGTGATGGACTACAATCTCCAACTCTAAGCTGCGTGAATGAGGCCTAAAGACTATATTTGTTTCCCCCAATGCTGCTGTAAGCACTTACCTTATTTGATGCCTCTTGATTCGATCGTTTTCTTCATTCAACTTGTTTCTGACAGTCCCTCCAGCGCTGGTGCCAGTCTCGGATCCAGTGCAGACTCCTCGTGTCCCACAGGGTCTGTCTGGCGTGTGCGCTCCCAGCTGCGTCCATTCACTTTCATTGTCTCTTTTCTCCCCACCCCCCCTCTACTGCGCATGCGCCCACACACTTCCTCCTTTGCAGCCGTTCGGGAGCCGGAAGTGCTTAAGCTGGGAGCGAGCAGCGCTGGAACAGGTAAGTTATTGGGTATTTGCCAACTTTTTAATTTTTTTGTAAATCATGGGGCATATACAGTATCTACTGCTTACCAGCAGTAGATACTGTATATGCCAAAAAAAGAAAGACTTTAATTCTAATTTATACTTGAATTCATTTGTAAGGTTTAACTCCTGAGTTTTGAGTCACTTTCGGTGTCCTTGGTTAGAATTGAACATAGGATCCTAGTATTTACAAAGCCACAGTGCTAACCACAAAGCCACAACTATGTTACATGGCGATGTTATGTGATTGCCGTGTGCCTTTACAGTATAGATTAGTCATAGATGTCGAAATGTTGTTTAATTGAAATAGTGAGGATTTTTGGTATGTGAAATCACAGTTTCCCTTATGTCTTCCTGTAGGTTGTGGGAACTCCATGTTACATCTCTCCAGAACTATGTGAAGGAAAGCCTTACAACCAGAAAAGTGACATCTGGGCACTTGGATGTGTCCTCTATGAACTTGCAAGTCTTAAGAGGGCATTTGAGGCACCAGTAAGAGCAAATATCACTTAACTGTGCTGTTATAATGTCATTCATGTGTTCATTTAGAGCATGCAAAGCTGTTTTAGAACTTTAGGTATCAGAGCACATATTGAAACTTGTAGTTACCCTCTGACAAGGGCTATACACTAACAAGACATGGATCTTAGATATGTTCAGGGAGATCTTCCAAGAGAAAGACCAGTCTCAATTTCTGTGTGTAGAGAGAACTCTTATTAAAGGAGAATTATGGGGAGAGTGAAATACACTTATCCCCATAATTAGAGCCAACCTATGACACTGAAACTGTCACACGTTGGCTCTATAGATCGAGAACTGAGCGACCACATAACGCTGATCACTCAGTTCCCAATCTTCTCCCTGCAGAGAGCAATGACTGTCAGTGGGGCAGGGAGGCAGAGCCAGCTGACAATCAGGTGGCGGGGTGGATCCCAACAATATTGTCGGGACCTTTCCCAGCCGCAGCACAGCTCTGCAATGTCAACATATAGCGGGCAATAGTGCACTATATGCTGAGTTTTACTACTATGGTGACATTTACTATGTCCTCCTGTGACCCTAAAGAGAACTGTGCCCAAAAAAAGGTTGGAAAATGCAGTGAAATAACCAGAAATACAAAGCAATGTATTTATAAATGTTGCAGTATAATGTCTCTTATACATAACATGGTGGTTAAAGGGTTTTACCTCCTCATCATTGTTCTGGACGATGTGGATGGTCACATCAACTGATTTTTTGGTGGTTATGACTTTTTCAGACACCACAGCATCAGTGGGATTGCAGATAAACAATAGTAATTTTACCAGGAAAGTAAATCCCAGGTAATTCTTTCCCCAAGATTAGACTGCTCAGATGTGTCTTTACATGATATGGAAGTCCATACAAAGTAATAGAAATACAATGGTTTTCCCACGCAACTGGATTGGGTACTGATTGTCATGAGTGCCTTAAAGGATGTAAAAGGCAAGAAAAATGAAACAATCTGGGGGTGGATAACATATGTCAGATGCACATAATCCTGTTTACTGAAGCCTGTGAATTGGGTGAGTTACTGTTTAACCTTTCTAACACTAACACAGGACATTTTTTGCTTGCGACATGAAACCAAGACTCCTTCTAAGGGTAAGGTCCGGGTGACAGTTTCATCTGAGCGCAGCCAAACAACCCTGTGGCACATTTTTTTAGCACCGGAAATAACTTCTTTATATAAAGAATTTCAGTGACAGTCTCATACCTGCTACCTGAGCCTCTGTCTTTTTAAGAAATATCAGTACTTCCGGACAACAATGTTATCTGGCCTTCTTCTGACTCAGTCTTTCTGGGAATTGTATTGCGACATGCTCAATTGGCACATTTCATTTGAGGTTCAATATAATCATGTAATTCTTTTAACCTGGGGCCCAGGTTCACTTAGTGCCCCCTAATTTCTCTGGAAGCTCCTGCCAGAATATATTCTAGATCAGGGCTGAATAACTACTTGAAGCCAGGTTGCCAATGCTCTGTAAAAATTACAGCTAGTACCTAACGTTTGAGGTTTTCCCTAATTGCTGTCAATGGAGCTGACTCCTGAATTCCATATTAATGTGCCCAGCCCTGTTCTAGATGATCAAATACCAGTTAATTTAACAGGGCAGTAGAAACCCCTGAAGCCTTATGTAACATTGAACACTATACCACTATGCATCCCTATTATCAAGCAGATTAGATTGTTATCCAGCTCATTTAGCGCAGGCTGCCACCTTATCCAGTGAAAACTGCAACTGGGTCATCCCCAAATCTGACATTTATCCACTTTTATAGTAAAAGGCTGGTATAACCAAATAAGATCATCTGAAGGCCTCATCAGGGCATTTATGGCCACTACTATTGTTTATTACTATTAAGAATTTAAATAAAGGACATATTATCTTTTGCATTGAGCTTACCAGTTTCCAAATCTAAGGCCAGTCTAAATCCACCTAGTCAAGTTTGTGTTCTTGCAAATTTGTTGTCCATCCAGTTATTTTGGCTGGTGACCAGTCTTGTTGTTCTAAGCAATATGGCCTAGCACAGCTTTCCAACAGGCTACTTTATCTTTTTGCGTACTACAATGTAAAGGTAAATTTTTGTTGAAATGAACACACAACTTACAAAACACCCTCAAAGAGGCTCCAACCAGGAGAGGGTTCTTAACCAGCATTGGAACATTGTTATAGTCTAACTATGGGGTAAGAGCCAGTTCCTTTCTCAGCCAACTCTGCTCCATTCCCAACCAGGCCTTAGAGTTCTTATACACATTCCAGACCACATTTCTCATGAGATGACACGCATAAAAATATCTAGTGAAATCAGGAACCCCCAATCCTTCCCTACCCTTGGAGTCTCTGAGAATTGATTTGCGTAACCTTGGTCTCTTCCCAGCCCAAATGAAGCAAAGTAAATCCTTATCTAAGTGTTTCCGAAAGGAAGGTGGCAAAGTGATGGGAATCATCTGCAATTAGTAAAGCATCCTGGGAAGAATGTTCATTCTCACTATGGCCATCTTGCCTGTCCATGAAAAAGACAACCTGGTCCAGCCAGTCTTTTAGTGTCACTTTAATGCAGATTTCTTCAATAATTCCACTTGTTTATTGGAGTTTCTCCTAAATAGATTAAGCTACACCAGTCAGAAAAGCAAAATAAGCTCATGAGCATGCTGTAAAATGTATGAAATCCCACCAGGCCCTAGACAGTGCAGACTGATTGATATCATTTGTTGTATTCTAGATGTTCAGGAGGTGACCCTCTGCAGATTGCTTTGAATCTAGATAGAATTGTGCATTGCAACGCTCTTATCAGACATGCTAAGTCATGACATAGTGTGAAAAAGTTCACAAAACATAAATAAGTGTGAAGTTAATGTACTATGCTCCTCAGTGCTTACAGCCTTATAATATTCTATGTGTGCTTTTATATGTAGAACTTGCCAGCCTTAGTGCTGAAGATCATGAGTGGGACTTTTGCCCCCATATCTGACCGATACAGTCCTGAACTCCGACAGCTAATACTTAGCATGCTGAATCTGGACCCTTCCAAACGACCCCAGCTGAATGAGATCATGGCTCATCATATCTGCATACCTGCGCTTCTCAACCTTTACAGTGACATTGGCAGTGTCAAAATGAGGTCAGTAAAATGAAAGCCAGTTCCATCTTTTCTGCTCAAGTTTCTGGTCTGTAGCTGTGTATTAATATTATTATAATACAAGATTTATATAGTGACAATAGTTTGTGCAGCACTTTACAATGTAAAGGGAGAAGTACAGTACAACACAATTCAAGGCAAGATGGGTAGGAAGGCTCTGCTTGTGATACTTTACAGCCTATTATATTACTTGTGGATTACGTCTAGATGTTGACAGAAGTACAGAAGGAGGGTATTGCCTTATGTATCTGAAAATTACCTTATTTTAGCTAATCTTCAATTAGTGTAGATTAATCAGCTATCAATCAAGCAAAACAGTGTAGATTAGTGATTAATTAGCTGCAAATCAAGCCAAAAAAGAACATTTGATTGATTACTATGGGATCACTACACATTTCTAGGTACGCACCATACAATTTTACATAAGGTAAACTGCTGATTCCACATTTAGTCACTCACTTCCTTCAAAGCAAGAACCATTATAATTCAGAGGATGGTTGTTTCTTTGCTGATTACAGACTGGAAATAGTAGTAGCTTTTCATTATGGTAGCAAGTATTTTAAATTGCAATTTATCAAACTTAAAATGAATTGCAATATGATTGCATGACTCTGTGAGGTAATTTGCCCCATTACCACCAGTACAGGAAGTTTAATATGAGAACACATAATAGTTTTTCCTGAATAGCTAACCTACCAGCCCCCTTTGTACCATAGTATTTGATAGTTTAATCTTAAAATGCAATATAACATTCTTCATCCAGAATTTGAAAAGCTTCATTATTCCTGAGACATGTTCCTTCCCCCAAAATAAGGTTAAGATAACCTTTGTACCAATTTTAATGTAATTGTGCCTGTTTTGAGGATATAGAGACTACTCTTGCCATACAGCTAGAACAAATATTAAATGTTTATATCCTCTAAGATTCCATATACACAGTCTTGGTAATACACTGAGCAGCTACATTGTGCATGCTAATTAATGGTGCTGGGAGCACCATATTTCTGCCAGCACCATACTTCTGAAATGCAGAACAAATGTATCTCTGTGTATTTCCCGTCTTGTGCCACAGTTTATGTGGGCAAGGTGGAAACCTCCCTCTCATGCTTCAGTGTGTGTGTGTGTGTGTGTGTGTGTGGACAAGGCAGCAGCCCCTCTCCTATACTCCAATGTGTGTGGGCAAGGCTAAAACCACGCTATGCTTCAGTTTGTGCAAGCAAAGCTGCAAACTTCTCCCTTGTGTCTCTGTGGAACTTGTTGACCTGCCGTTTTACTGGGTCAGATGTGGGACCATTCAGAAGCAAATAATACTTATAATTATTTAACTTCCACAAATAAGTAGTGGATTCAGCAGGAAGGCAGTTACCCCAACTTCATTTTTAATGCAGGCTTTTACATTTGACTGGAGTGTACCTTAAATTTCCTGTTGATGATATATTTATGATTGTATATCCTAAGCAGTTGTTTATTACATTTTTGTACTAGTTAATGAGAGTCCAACTTTTTGTTGATTACATTTTTGCATTGTCCTCATTTTCACCTGGTTTAATAACCTAATATTTCTATTTCTGAAGGTTAGAGAAGCCTCTGGCGGCAATGCTTGCAGTGACCCGTGGCCGGCCAGCTGGAAGGATCCCCAGTGCCAGATCCCGAGGTGAGCAGCTTTGAACAGTAGCATAATGCGGTTGATAATGCATGCCATTAGATAGTGCAGTACCCTATTCTTTTAACTCAATGTGCTAAAAACAAAGGATGGTCTAGTCATTAGCTCTCTTCAGTCTCCTTCCTCCTGCTGGAATGCAACACTCTAGCTGTACATAATTTATTGTCTTATCAGTACATTGTTGATCCTGTATCGTATATCTCCTAATGAAAATCTTCTGAATTATGTACTATTTCCTGGGGAGGTATATGAATATCATTTGTCACCAGTATAAATGTCCCATCATTGCACTAATGAAATACTTCTCTAGAGCTACTGTCCATTCATTTAACATGACAGGTACCTATTAGCAAGTCAACGGGAGTTTTTTTTTTTACAACACATTCCTTTACTTCCTATTATTCTCACCAGGGTTTAGCCGCAAAACACATTTTTGTGGAATGTTATATTGAGAGCTCCAGTTAACTGTCATATTTGTGCTGATTTGTTACTATCAGGTGGCCGTGTTGGGTATTCTCCTGCGAAAACAGGCATTCCTCCCCCACTGTCCTCAGTCTACACATGGGGAAGTGGGATCACCTCCCCTCTCCGCCTGCCAATGCTGAATACAGAGGTGGTCCAGGTATCAGCTGGAAGGACACAGAAAGCTGGAGTCACCAAGTCTGGAAGGCTCATAATGTGGGAGGTGAGCATCAGGAAACTCTGACCCAGGTTTCTAGTGCTAGGCATCCACCAGGAGAAATATGCTATTCTTAAGAATCCCAAGCATGTGCAAGCACATGATAAAGAGGGATTCGAGGAATTACACAAATATTTTTAACAGTTGCGGGCTGGCTTCTTGTGGCCCGGGATACAAGTATAGAAAATTATCATCAGTTACATAACTACTGTAACAGGAAATTGGGAATGTGAAAGATTGCCAAGGTAGCCAACTATGATGGTCCAGCAGCCCCAGTCTCTTCTAACTTTTTCGACTTCTGAAAAAAATGTACATAAAAAATGGAAATTGTTCATATAGGCCAGTGATTTAAAATAATAATAATATAAGTAATATATATATAATTCATGTATTATTTTCTTGATAGCATACGTGAGGCATTCCAGTAAGCACTGTTATCATCTGAGGCCCCAATGCATTTGCAAGCACTGTCCAGCCTGTGCCTTTGGAGAGGTGATGCAAAATTCCCAAGTTTATTCTTTATTGATAGTAATATAAAAGTACAACTTTCCCCTATATATTTATTTCTGCCTGTGTCTATGTTGCAGATTTTCGGAGCTCCAGATTTCAGTAAAAAAAAACTTGACAGGAGATTAAATACCTCTCCACTCTAAACGGGCTTGACATACACTTCAAGATGTATACACCTGACTTGACTGCAGCATCTGCTCTTCTTCACCTCACTTCACGGTTGATATAAACATTCGGTTGGGTCTGTTTATGGCGAGAACTTAGAGCAGTTGGATTGCACATGTGTGTCGGACTGCAATTAAAGCTCTATGGGCATTTCAAAGGCTCTGAACATAAAGCAGCTATGCAGTTAAAGCTGTATACACATTCACATATGCAGAGTTTAAAGTGACTCTGCCACTTGTTTAAAAAGATGTAACAAAGTTGAACCTGCTGCCATTTTCTCTGATCTTCACTCTCTTACAGAGCAATTCCCTCTCCGCATTGGTTACTTTTCTGCATATGTAGGATGCCTATTCCCTTGCTCCACTCTTTGGAAATGAAAAATGAGCTATTTAAAGTAGTATTAAACTCTCCAACTTTATTTCAATAATGAATCCACATCAAACAAACATACATTGCCTCCCATAGTATTTCTTTCAACTTTTGCCCAAGCACTTGTAGTCATCATGTTTCTGAACAGCTGGCTCCAAGTCTCTCAGCTCACTTCCCTGAACTTCCTGTCCAGTACAAGATCACAAGGGACATCGCAGTCTCCAGGAGCTGTCCATCTACTAGCTTAGCAAGGAAGGGGGAGCGGAGAGTCTAGAATAGAATACTTTGCTGTGAATATGTGCTTGTGGAGACACACACATCTTACTAGCACACACAAAAGTGGCTCCAAAGGACCCTGCAAGGGAAAGGAGCTCACCTCAAACAGGATATTAGGGCCAGTGCTCAGGGGACCAGCTGATTCTGCAGGAAGCTAAAACTTTAAACCATCAGGAAGCATCATCCATTGTGAGGGATGTAATCAGCATTGGAAATATCTTAAAAAACTGTTGACTTTAATATCACTGACATTTAAATATTTATATTTATTGTTACTTGGACTCTAAATATTGTTTATCTTTTAGGCGCCCCCTATGGGAACTGGTGCACCTTCACTTCCCGGTGCTGTAGAACATGCTCAGCCTCAGTTTATCTCACGATTTCTTGAGGGTCAGTCTGGTGTCACCATCAAACACGTGTCATGTGGAGATCTCTTTACTGCCTGCCTCACAGGTATAGACAGAGTCGAGAAAAGTTTTTTGCAAATGTGAAAGTCCTTTAAAGGATGTCTCCAAGAAAAATGGATATCTACTGTATGATTATCATCCCTCTTGCAAACACTAGAGGGTTCCCTGTCCTATCATTCTATAAAATGATTGGAGAACTGATTAAAACACAAAAATCATATTTTTTTCCCCATTGTAAGTAACTATATTGTTGGATCAGTCCAAGTTCCAGTACAAGTTTCCTCGTTTTTGATGGAATAGGGAATGGTTCAATCCTCTGTCATTTTTTTTTTTTTGCTGTCTGCATCTCGTTTGGGAGACCTAATTTCACGTCCTGTCCTAAAGATGCTATCTTCAGGGAAATCCCCTCTCAGATAATTGTCATTGAAACAGGTGTCCCTAACTCTTCTTCTGGGGACAACTCTTTCATTTTGAATTTGCCATCACTTTTTGATAGACTGACAATGCTCACCATGACAAATTGAGGGCGAATCTCCCCTGTATTCACACATACAGCAATATAAACCTGACATGAGTTCTAAAGCTTTCCTATGCTATCTAAAGCTAAAATAAAATCCATACACTTTAAAGAATAAGTGTACTTTTAGATTTTAAGCCCTAATTTTTCTTGTTATAAATGTTTCCATAACATAGTTTATGTTTGTCTCCAGACAGAGGCATAATTATGACCTTTGGCAGTGGAAGCAATGGTTGCTTGGGACATGGTCATTTTAATGATGTCACTCAGGTAAGTTCATCACCTTTATTCCCCACTTTTCTCATGCTGTATATTTAGACATAAAGGCTAAACATAGACTCAGGGACATTTAAAATCAATGTGAGAGTGAGGGTGGAAGTTCATCTGACATCTGGCACTTGCTGACCTTTGACCTGCCTGAGCTTACATACTCTAGGTGTGCAGAATGCGAGGTCAGTCAGCTGACAGGCAACAGTTATCATACTTCAGGTGACCTCTGACACACCAGCTGAAGAGTCATGCTCAGTAAAAAATGAGTAAAACTGAATATTGGTGGAGTATCAATCTTTCCTAAGTAAGCCTGCAATTGGATAACAATTAAATACTGGAAGGGGAATTTATCAAAACTGAAGCAGACAAAATCTGGAGCAGTTGCCCATGGCAACCAATCAGTTTCTCTCTTCAGTTTGTTCAGTTAAGATTTGAAAATGAAACAGAGAAGCTGATTGATCAGCATGCACAACTGCTCCAGATTTTGTCTGCTCCAGTTTTGATAAATTCCTCTCACTATGTTCTGATTCCTATTAGCCAAATCATATTTTATCATCAATTAAGTTTCACTTAGTTACTGGGGCTTGAGTGTAATGACTCGCCCCCCAGCTTCCTGATTGGCCAGGAAATTTGCTCTATCCATACTGTTCAATCATGAATAGGTGAATTGTAAATCTATGGTCTTGTGTCTTTTTAATGTTTTGGCAGCATTTTCCATACAAAAATGCATTTCATAGTAGCTATTAAAGGAGAACTATGAAGTGAGTGATTCCAACTCATCCTCATAGTTAGAGCCGACCTGTGACAATGAAACTGTCACAGGTCAGCTCTATTGATCGGGAAGTGAACAGAAACATGCAGCCGATCCGTTCACTTCCCGATTGTCTCCCTGCAGTGAGCGGTGACTGTCAGTCACCACTCCCCGCAGGGATTCCCCCCTCCCCTTTCCGATTGCTCCCAGTATATTGCGGTCGATAGCCCACGGTATACATAGTTACATAGTGTTTGAGGTTGAATAAAGACATATGTCCATCAAGGCCAACCTATTTCTGTATGTGTATGGTCCTATTGGTGTGTAGTATGTATAGGTCCCTGTGTGTTCTCAATCTTAAGAATACTTGTACCCCTGTATATTACGGTCCCTGAGGAAATCGTCCAATTGCCTCTTGAATGATTCCACACTCTGAGCCGAAATCACATCATTTGGCAGCGAGTTCCAGACCCTAACTGATCTAACTGAGAAGAAACCCCTTTGCCCCTTGTGCTGAAATTTCTTCTCCACCAATTTTAAGTGGTGGCCTCTCGTCCTTGTCATCGAGTTAATTGTAAAGAGTTTGCTGCTAATGTTGCTATCCCCGGTAAACATTTTATACATGAAAATCATGTCCCCCCTTAATCTCCTTACTTCCAATGAGAACATGTTTACATTTAGTACCCTGTTCTCATAGCTCAGGTCCTCCATCCCCTTTATGAGTTTGGTTGCCCTCCTCTGGAATCTTTCCAGTTCAAGGGCATCCTTTCTGTTCACTGGTGCCCAAAACTGGACCGCATAATCTAGATGAGGCCGAACCAGTGATCTATAAAGTGGCACAATTAAGGACTTGTCCCCGCAAAACATTAATACAGGAAAGGACTCTACTTGCATTGTTTACCGCTGCCTGACTCTGCATGCTGTTATTCAGCCTGTGGTCTATATTCTGAGCATTGAGTCACGGGAGGAGGCTAGTATATGTTCTCCCGTAACCTTAAAGAGAACTATGGGGAAAAACACTTACCCCATAGCTCTCTTTTAAAGAGATTGCATTCTGTTGCACAATCCTCCACCATCATTTGCAAAATTCATTACATGCATTTCTTTAGCTCGCAACCTGAGAAACAAAATGTCAAGTGAATATAATGAATTGTTCTGAATGGGGTTCTCCTTTAAGAAATCCTCAGTATTTGATTCTTATATAACATACACTTCTGTTTAATTACCACTGTAAAACTGCATCTTTCCAAGAAAATCACTTTAGCAAAAGAACAGCATATGTTCCGATTGCACAACATGGGCAAAAATATTTGCAAAGCTGTAACATCTAATTAATAACGATGAAAAAAAGAACAGACTTTCCTTGGCATTGATTCCCATTTGCCTGCTTGTTTAGGCAAATAAATGCTGCTTAGACACATAGGTCTGCATTTACATATGTTATATGACTGTGACTGCTAAATGTGATCTGTTCTCTATAAGTGATTCAGTGCAGGCTAAATAGTCTGAAAACAGAACTCTAGACAACAAAACAAAGCCCCCGGTACAGACCACCCCCTACAGTCAGTCTGCTTCAATTGTTTCCTTACATTTTTTTTAAATACTTAAAGCTGAATTACGAGATAAGCAAATGTTGTCTAAACACAAGAGGCATGTGTATTCTTTCTTGAATCTTGCTGTGCTTTGTGTATTTCTTCCAGATCTGTGCAGGAGTTGTCTATAATAAAGATCAGTTACTGCTGCAGTCTCTCCTTGTGCAGGATGACTGGTCATGTATCTGCCCCCTCCTGTAGTTTCCTGCAGGCCTGTAATGGGTAGGACCTGCTGGGTCCCTCCTACAGTCCTGCTCTCTGCACAGGCTATGTACAGAACAGTGATGATGTCACTGCTACTTTTACAATGTAATATTTGTGTTTGCTAAGACATTTGATGCACTTAAAGAGGATTTACATCCTCTGTGGCTAATCAGTAATATATTTCAATGAAAGTTTTGTGCCCTGAGTTTACCTTTCAATCCTTCTTTAATTAGATACTTTGCCCATGTGTTTATGGCCTCTCTAAGGTCCCGTTCACACTTGTGCGATGCGCTATAGCACGTGCAGTGCAGGGCATTTTTAGTGCGTTGCGGTAGGGCAGCCCATTAATTCCATATTAAGCTCCGCCCCTCTTGGCACTTAGTTCCAGCTCTATATAAAGCCTATATAAAGCCATATATATTTTTCCTTTATTGTTACCTAGTGATCCAGGCAACACACTTCTTGTCATAGAGTGAAAACGCTCACTCACTGCACTGTACCGGAGGGAGTAGCATTGTTATTCTAGGTTGCTCTCCTGATTTGGACTACAAACCCTGCTCCTCTTCTCATCTCCATTGCATAGGGAGGCGCTTTTTTGTAATGTTGTTTGATATATCAGTTCACAGCACAGGATGTTACACTGTAGTTCTGGCAAGATAAACGGGTACTTTTCTGTACCTGTAGAAAATGTACTTAGCCTGAAACAACTAATGTAGCCACCACATCCAATGACTTGTAAGATGCAATATATACACTTTTATTCTTGGGTTTAAATATACTTTTAACAAAATGAAACGAACAGGGTTATTCACAAAAGGGTGAGGAGTTTGGAGAAGGCAGGAGAAGTGAACAATCTAGGACAACATAGCTGAACTGCAAAGTGAGCTGAATTGGAGAATTTTTCCAGTTCAGCTATGTTGTCCTAGATTGTTCACTTCTCCTGCCTTCTCCAAACTCTTCACCCTTTAGTGAATAACCATGTTGAAGTCATGCATTGTATACCCCAGTCTCTCCATTCATTATATATGCACTGAAATTGTCACATGACCGCTGTATCATGATAAACACCCATGAATTGCTATCACAGCGGTCTCCTGATAACAACCTCTCCCCCTTAATTTATAAACAATTACAACAAATAGAAAACAGTGGTTTTTAGAGAGGTGTACAGCCACTGCACTGATACATATTTTTGTAAAAAATATTTAAAGTTTATTGTACACTGAATAAATAATATAAAATCATGTGTATGTTGATTTGACTAAACAATAACACCAATCCTATTAACAGGAGCATTCATGACATAAAATGTATCACATCCCCATAACTCCCATTACATTCGTTGATACCAAATCTACGTTCAAGTGGAGATAATTAAATCCAGCCCCGACGCGTTTCGCATATTGCTTCCTCAAGGGGTCATGGATAAATCACCCTAGTATGGTATCTGTAGAGTGAGAGAGATTCCTAGAACCAGTGGGGACGGGGATTTTAGTCCATCGACCCAACTAATCCGTCCAATGTTGCATCGGGGACCCTGGGGCCATAAATATAGGAGAGTCAAAGACCCAATATGGGGGAAATCTGCCTATATTTTGTCAGAGCTACAATGATGATATGTTTAAGCAGATTAACGGCCTGTATCCAAGGCTGTTCATATTCCAAACCTATCTGTTACTCTCTCAATCAGAAGCCGCATGTGAGATAATCTCATCCGTCGCCCAGAGTCTGCACAACCAAGCCTTGAGGGACCGGTGTATCATGCAACATTCTCGTCCTGTATATAGTCATCTAGGCTTTCTAAAGCCATTGTGGCACCACTGTTAAAGCCTTTCTCGTCATTTGTGGCCTATATTATGTAGTCGGGTATTACAAAATCAGATCCTGGCATGCTTCCTGTAGCCGGTGCTCCCTGACAGCACAGTGAGCAATGGCTATAAGGTATTGCATATATTAAAATAATAGGCTTTGTGAAACTTATGGCTAAAAGGTATTGCATACAGTATATTATAGTAATAGGCTTTATGAAACGTATGGCTGTAAGTTATTGCATATATTATAATAATAGGCTTAATGAAATGTATGGCTATAAAGTATTGCATATGTTATAATAATAGGCTTAATGAAATGTATGGCTATAAAGTATTGCATATGTTATAATAATAGGCTTAATGAAATGTATGGCTATAAAGTATTGCATATGTTATAATAATAGGCTTTATGAAACTTAAGACATCCTCTGCTTTCTCTCACAGCCTAAGATTGTAGAAGCTCTCCTAGGTTATGAGATAGTTCACGTTTCCTGCGGGGCTTCACATGTCCTTGCTGTTTCTAATGAGAAAGAAGTGTTTTCCTGGGGCCGCGGGGACAATGGTAAGGCTTGTTCTGACCTCCGCCTGCATAAATCTGTATGACAAGAACCTCTGTGATTGAAGTCTGTCTGACATTACATTCTGGTCTTTAAGATACATTAACATCAGTTCCTCATACTTTGACAGTTTTATAATACACCACACAGGGTGCAAGGTTTGTGATCTACATACAGGTAGAACAGGAACATCCAGGTCTGGTGTACATCGGTGACCCTTAGATTTGATCATAGTTACTGATTACAGAAGTTTCCCATTGTGTTTGTATACTTTCAAAATATATATCATTATCAACCTAAGCTGTTCTGAATAGTGGTATTATCATTCACTTTAAAGGGCCAGTAAACATAAAAGAACAGGTCAAAATGTTTACCTATCTATACATAAACATTACAAGTACTTCTTGAAAAAACAAAGATTGAATTCCTTAAAAAAACCAAAAACAGATTTCTGGTCCAGACATCAAGTTGAACACAACCACTGATTGCCTACAATGGCTGATACCATTGAATAATAGTCTGCACATCATGTAATGCACATAGCTTCATAGGTCATGTAAATACAATGCTTGATTTTACACAGATATGGAAACTCTTCCATAAACATATGTGATTCATATTAATAATCTGTTTGCATAAAGCAAAGCTGTAATTAGACTTTTACTGAAAGTGGCTATACACCGAGCAAATGTTATCCCATTCATGTTGAAAGAATGTGTCAGATATTTTCCTTTAGCTCAAAAGCTGAAAGAAAATAATCTAACAGTGTATACCCAGCTTTAGGTCCGATTCACACCAGATGCACTGACAAAACAGTTAGCCTTGTTTTCAGTCGTCTTAGTTCACATCACTGTGTAGCGGTGTTGCGCGTTAGAAAGAAATTCTTGTAGTACTTTTTTTTCAGCACAACATGGTGCAACTCGCTACAACTGCATTGCACCATGCTGTGGCTATAGAAAATCAGTTTGTCTGTGTCTACATAATAGACATTTCCCATCACTTCCTCTGCTGATAGGAAGTGAAAAGGAAAATCTCCTCAATAGGGACACGAACAGCAGTAAAACCCTGACAGAGGCTCTAACCTTTGCTGCGCTATCCAAAGTGAAATGAAACGCCTTAGCTGTAGTTGGGTTATAACTATTGGCACCTATTGATCCAAGTGCATCAGCGACAGTATTGTTGAAAAGCAAATATCTTGTGTAAAATACCTTCTATGCCATTACAGGGCTGCACTGGAAATACCAATACATCTGTACCTACCACTGTGAACTAGATGGTTTCTGATGGTTATAGAATAGTTACAGAAAGCTGTTCTGCTTCATCATAACATTACTTTTTATATTGACTGCAGCTGTCAGAATACCCAAACAGTGACTGCAGCTGTCAGAATTCCAGAGCAGTGACTGCAGCTGTCAGAATGCCTGAGCGGTGACCGCAGCTGTGAGAATACCCGAACAGTGATTGCAGCTGTCAGAATGCCTTAGCAGTGATCGCATCTGTCGGAATGCCTAAGCAGTGACTGCAGCTGTCGGAATGCCTGAGCAGTGACTGCAGCTGTCAGAATGCCCGAGCAGTGACTGCAGCTGTCAGAATGCCTGAGCAGTGACTGTAGCTGTCAGAATGCCTGAGCAGTGACTGCAGCTGTGAGACTACCCGAACAGTGACTGCAGCTGTCAGAATGCCTGAGCAATGACTGCAGCTGTGAGAATACCCGAACAGTGACTGCAGCTGTCAGAATGCCTGAGCAGTGACTGCAGCTGTCAGAATGCCTGAGCAGTGACTGCAGCTGTCAGAATGCCTGAGCAGTGACTGTAGCTGTCAGAATGCCTGAGCAGTGACTGCAGCTGTGAGACTACCCGAACAGTGACTGCAGCTGTCAGAATGCCTGAGCAATGACTGCAGCTGTGAGAATACCCGAACAGTGACTGCAGCTGTCAGAATGCCTGAGCAGTGACTGCAGCTGTCAGAATGCCTGAGCAGTGACTGCAGCTGTCGGAATGCCTGAGCAGTGACTGCAGCTGTCGGAATGCCTGAGCAGTTACTGCAGCTGTCAGAATGCCTGAGCAGTGACTGCAGCTGTCAGAATGCCTGAGCAGTGACTGCAGCTGCCAGAATGCCTGAGCAGTGACTGCAGCTGTCAGAATGCCTGAGCAATGACTGCAGCTGTCGGAATGCCTGAGCAGTGACTGCAGCTGTCGGATTGCCTGAGTAGTGACTGCAGCTGTCGGAATGCCTGAGCAGTGACTGCAGCTGTCAGAATGCCTGAGTAGGGACTGCAGCTGTCAGGATACCCGAAAACTGACTGCAGCTGATTCGACGCAGTCACTGTTTGGCAGAAAATGTTTCACCCGGCTACTTCGACCAAAGTTGATTGAAAAACCAACTGGTAGGGCCACCCATGGATCAAATTTTTGCCAATTCAGCAATAAACAGCCGAAATGTGATCAGTGTATGGCCACTTTAAAGAATAAACCCTGACATTGGGATTTGTAGTAATATGCACATATCTTCTGTTTTCTGACACCACTGATATACATACAGCGAGAGGTGGGAGGAAGGATTCAGATATAGTTGGCATCAATCTAATATACCCAATCCAATGTTTTCCTTTTCGACTGATCTTTTTCCTTTTCTCACTGCAGGAAGACTGGGGTTAGGCAGCCAAGAGTCTCATAACTCCCCTCAGCAGGTGGTAATCCCACAGGACTACGAACCCCAGAAAGTTGTATGTGGCATTGACAGTTCTATGATTCTGACTCTAGGCAACCAGATCTTGGCCTGTGGCAGTAACAGGTTTGTATGTTTTATACATAAAACAAAAACAATAATAAGCGCACTACTCTGGTGGTACATGGGAATACATTTATAAGACTAACGGGGGGGGTCACAAAGTTCAATAAATGTGGTGGATAATTCAC